CCCTGGGAGTACCCGCGGGCCGCCCGCCGCTGCCCGGCCGACGGCGCCGCGCTGCTGGACCCCGCCCTGGCCTTCAACCTGGGCTGCGACCCCGCTGCTGCCGCCCACCTCCGCCTGCAGGTGAGCCGGGGCCGGGCACCCCGGGGAGCGGGCCGGCGGCAACGGGGGCTCACGCTTCTGCCCATCCCCTCTGCAGAGGTACGAAAGGACCGGCGCGGCGGATGGGAAGGGCAGCCGGTCTGTGCTTTCCGTGCCCCCTTTCGCCAAAGAGCTGCACCTAGAGATCATCTGCTCGCCGGCCTACTGCGCCCAGGGAGGCTACAGCCGCGTGCTCTACAGGCACTTCGAAACGCCCCGGTGAGCTCTGTGGGGCGGACACGTGTGTCTGCTCGTGGGGCATAGTCATGAGATACACCCTTGCTGTGTGTTTGTGGCACCCGGATCTGACACGCTGATGATGTGCATCATCAACATCCTCAGTGCAGGGGCTGTGTAGTTTTAGGATATCACCTTGAACTATCTTCTCGAGTGTGTTCCACTTGCATGCAACACCTCCTGTCCTGTCCTTAGGAAGTCATCTTCAAGTATCCTTCTCGTGATCTGCCATCCAGTGCCAAGGGCTTGCAAGTGCTGCTCACAAACCTCCATTCTGGGCCATGGTTGTAATCTCGGTTCTCAGCTTTGAATGAAGTTGAGTAGTCAGGAAACTGGATATGTTGCCATCTTCTCTCCTGACACCTACACACGAACATCATTTGTTTGGCTGCCAGGGCTATCTGTTGGAATTATACCCAGCTGTTCCATGGATAAGGAGGATGTTTTGTCTGGATGAGACACTCTAAGGATGTTCATCTTCTATACCATTCCCAGAAGGCTCCCCTTAGTAGTCTGGGTACGCCTGCTCTCATCCAGTGCATGCCCAATCTTTCAGTGGCTATTGATAACTTTATTTACAGGCAAGGAGTGAGTAGGTATGAATTGGTACATTCTTTTCTATAAAAACATGTGTGATACAGGGCAGGGAAGACACACAACCAGAAGGATTTACTCTCTTTCACCGGTGAAACTCTGGTTTTTTTTGTAGGCTGGCCCAGGAGGGAGACATCCTGTGTGTTCCAACATTTGGAAATACTGAATTTATAGAAGCAAATGCAGGCAAGTTCCTAAGGTAGGTGTCAACAAACTGTGGCTCTGCTACATGGTACCAGAAGAGCAAAGATACTTTTCCACTATTGACTCTCTTGAGACAGTTTATTCCATTCTGATCAGTCCCTGGAGTTTAGTGTTTATCTGTCTCTTAATTTACAGGGAAGAGGGAAGTGTTTTTGTTGGATTATGGAGGGCTGCAGCTAAGAGGGAAGCCTCTGTTAGCTCACTCGAATAGTCATGAAGGGAAGAAAGGAGAAAAAGAGGTAGAGAAACTGATGAGGATAAAGGGTGAAGAAGAAGGGGTGGCCTGAGGACAGTCAGTGCCACATAAAAGAAAGCTAAGTGGAAGCCGGGCAAACATCAAAATGTGAATATAAGCCCTTAGAGTTCATGTTAGAATAACTTTCTGTTTGCCACCAATTCTGCCTTTCCTGGTTTTGCTCATATGGCTTTGAAATGGTTCTGTGCTAAGTGGGAGAAGGTCACCTTTGTATCAGAGTAGAGGTGCTCGAAGTGACATTTGGCCGATGTTAATGTAAATGCTTCAGCTGTGTCCCTGAGGGAACCAGCACAGTTAACTGAGGCGTGCAGTGCAAGGAATTGCCTTGGACCATTCATGCAGGATGCACCAGAGTCATGTTGCAATACTACTCGGTTCCAGACCAGGGCAGGATGCTCATGCTTTTGGCTGTCATGGTATTTGGGTGAGTCCTAGACTGCGGCCTGCAGAGAAGACTTTCATAAGCTGTAAGATTTTATATGCTGCAGATGAATCTGTGGAGTGTGATGAAGAAAGTGATGGCAGAAGAGAGAATGTCTTGAGCTCTTAGGTAGATGAAATAAGGTTAGTACAGCTGTACTTGTGCACTGAAGCCACCAGCAGAAGCTGTATTTGTTGACAGTACTGTTGGTCTGTCTGGCCAGATCCCAGCAGGATCCATAAGGTATCCTTGTGGGTTCTGTGAGAAGGGCAGAGTATTTCTGCTTACCTGTTCTTTTCAGCTGTCTTTTTCTTGACAACCATACTCTTCTTGCCTTCAAGATCTTCACTCAGCAATTTAGACTGCTTGTTTTTTCCCTTAGGTGGCCAGAGCTTTATTTCAAAGTGAAGAAGATTTTAGGCATGGTGGAAGGCGAGCAGTCTGAGGGTTACCTGGTGGACACCCAGAACACTTCTCTTTATCTGGTAAGATGTCAGTCGAGAGCAGGGAGGGTGTACAGGAGATAATGATGTTCCACAGAGTGCTATTTTTCCTTTCTCACAGGTGGGTTCAACAAACAGCGCTGTCCCATCTGCCCCAGCCTATAGCAGCCATGAGTTTTGGAGCAGTTTGTCTCCTGCTGGACTTTCTGATGTTGTGAAGCAGCTCTGTGATGCTCTTCGTCCTCACCTAAACAGTCGGTGAGTTAGAATTCCTTCTAATGAGCCCTGGAAGAGGTGGGACTGTGTTTCCTGGTCGCTGGGAAAACTCCCTGTCTGTTACAGGGTAAGTGCTCTGAGCAGCAGCACCAGCGTTCTCCTCTCGGGGCCAAGCGGCAGCGGGAAACTGATGGCTGTCAGAGCTGCGTGTAGCTGCCTCAACCTCCACATCTTCAAGGTAATTCCTCCTGTGGCCAGTTGATGGGTGGATTTACAACATATAAAGAGTTATGGAAATGTTCTTTAAGTCAGACATACCAACACCCTTGCTGCAGCCATGACACGAGCCTACCCAGGAGCTGCTTTCATGCGTACACGCAGACAAAAGGAGTCTGAGTATGCTGAGCTTAGCTCCTCGAGCATAAGCACGAAGAGATGTTTCCTCTGGAGTGTACCCTGCAGTGCTCCAGAGTCAGTAATTTAGAGATTTTTTTTGTCCAGGGTCTGCATTTGTGCCTTTCTTCACTGACTGTTGCTATTGTTGCTGTCAGGCTGATGTATTTCACAAGTACTGCCATACGCAGTTGTGTTTCATTTGACAGGGCATTGAGTTGAAACTGTACCCTAGTGTGTGGCAGGAACTAAAATATACTGAGATTGGAGAATTGGAATTCAATTGGAGACGTGATCACAGCAGGAATTGCAGTGGCATTGAGTGTTTGTTTTAAATTGTCCCTGCATAGGTTGGGCAAAATGCATGTTGGAAAGTGAGACACAGATGATGCTGAGATCTTTTTTATCTGGGTGGGAAGGCTGAAAAAGAAAAGCAGCCATTGGTAAAAGCAGCCCTTGGTTTCATGTCAGCATGTGTGCCAGACCTGGTTCAAAATCTCTCAGCCTGCACACAAGCTGCCCTGTAACTGTTCACACTGACCACCCTCCCCCCACCCCTGCCAAGAGCAAAAAAGCCCCCATATTTTCCATAGCAGTGCTTGGCTTCTGAAAGGGGAGTGACATCAAAATGGGGTTTCTTTAGAAAGAAAGAGTCGGACAAGATAAGGAAATGTTGCGTCTGCTGTGGAGGTACGTGAGGGACACTGTGCCACAACATGAGGCCACTGCATAGATTGTATTGAGATGGCCATGAGAAAAATGAATGGAAGACAAAACAGATGAACAGCAGGGAAAGGGCAGTTGCTGAAAACAAGAAGCATTCTTCAAAGGGCACAAAGCTGTAGCAGGTTGGATTGAAGGATCAAATTAGCACACTCTGGGATGACTTCACTACTTGCGAAGAGTATATGTAGTTTTTGCGACAAGAAGTCCTGTTCTTTAAACCTTCAGAAAGTTGAATCTGTTACCAAACACATGGGGAAGGTAACTTGACCAACACAGTCTACCTAGGTTTTGAAAATGCTCTTTGGGAAATTGAGGAGTGGAGGGACCTGAGTGAAGGTCCTGACGTGGATAAAGTGCTGTTAAAGGTTGGGAGCAGGATGGGAGTATTTGGCGAGTCTTCACAATCAGAAGCAGAGCTCTGCAGGCATCTGCGCTGAGAGATCAGAAATGACCTGGGAAAGGGGGTGAACAGTGATGTGATGGTTTGTTGATAACTAAGTTATTAACAAGTTATTAAAGATAAGAGAAAAGGAAGATAGACTGTCCTTGTACTAGAGGAGAACTTTAATGAGACGAAGTGACTGAGCAGTGAAGTGGCAGGTAAAATTCCCTGTAGTTGGTTTTATATGGAAAATTATATATTTTAAGCTGACTGTCAATATCAAGAATTTGGGTTTATGTCAATGGCTTAATGAAAACTTGTGCTCTCCTCTCCATATATGTAAAAAATCAGATCACATTTTAGGAAACAAACTTGAGAGTAGCTGCTGTTGCTGTGCAGATCCATGTCTTGCCACAGCTTGAGTGTCATGCACAGTTCTGATGTCCCCATTCAGAAAAGCATAAAACTGAACTGGAAAAATTCAGAGAAAGACACTGTGGAAGATCAGGGGTCTACACCAGTTTCTGTGTGGTGAAAAGCTGAATAAGCCCTTCAACTTGAAAAATAAAGAATTTAGGGAGAGTTTGATAGAGGTTTTTACAAGATCTTTTTGAAAGAGGTTTTTTACAAGATCTTGAGCAGTCAGCAGAGAGTGGAAAGTGTTCACTTTTCTCTGTGCTAGCATGAGGCCTGGCGCTGTCAGATGAAGTTAATGGGTACAGGCAAGCTAAAGGAGATAGTTCTTTGTGTAGGTAAGAGTAATTGGAGGAGAAATCTACTGTTACAAAACCACATCTGGCTGGGAAAATCCCTTTTGGTAGGAACGGTAGGTGCCTGGAAGAGTACTTAGGGGAGAGGATTATATGTGATCTTACTCTTAAGCAGCCCCATGTGGTGATGCTTGGAGACAAAATAGTGGGCTAAATGGACTCTTGGTCTGAACTGGTACAGCCCTTCCCATGTTCTTACAGCTGTGGCTGTACTAGGTAAGCTCCATGGCCAAAATGAAGTCTAGCACGTGTCTCTGTCCAGCACTGGAAGTTCTGGGAACCAAGATGTGTTAAAAATGCTATTTTCCTTCTGCATGCCTCTTTTGTTCACTCTGACAGTCTGGGAATATCTCACAAATGCTTTAATTTCCTTGCATCTGTAGAGTTATGTTTGCAAAAGTAAGAGGATTGGAAGTCACATGGTGACTTTTCTAGGAGAGTTTCTGAAATGATGTGGAAGAGGAGGAAAGATGGAAAGAACAGAGCTGGAAGGCTCCTTTTTTGTGGAAGGAAATTGTAGGCTTGCTCCTTTTTTTGGTGGTTATTTTTAGAGTAAACTCATAGAAAACAAGCTAAGCACTTTGAAGTTTTGGGTTTTCTTCTTCTATTTAGAAGCTAGGTCCTGTTAAGTTGACATTACTCTTTTCCTGTTCTTTTCTATCCAAGTAAAGCTGTAACAGTTGGTCAGTGGAGGAGGTGGATACAACCTTGGCCCACTGCTGTGCAGCTCATCTGGACATGATCCTTATTGGTGCTGAGCTCTGACTTTTCTGCAGATGTGCCATAGCTCTTGGGATCCAGTACAAGATTGCAGAGATCTCACAGATCCGTGTGTAGGATGTGTTTGGGAGCACTCTGTCACTGCCCTGTCCTGTCAGATGGCCTCAGGTTCTAGTGGGATGTGTATGCAAGGCAACAACTCTGGTTTTGGCCTTGTGTGCTGCTTTTAAAGACTAACACACTTACTATTGAAGCTAGAGGTATTTGCTGTCCATTTTATTCTCCTATCCCAGCTTTTACATTCTCCCCTCCCTTTCTCACTGACTGCAATGCTTATGCTACCATTCTACCTGCTCTTCCCTTTCTCTGACTGTTTAGTCTGTTGTCCTACCAGGACACAGTAACTCTTCCCCACTCTTATCTCTACCACTTGTTGATCAACAGTTTTTTGTCCTTTCTCTCTGCCTTTCTGTACTTGCATAGAGATACTGCTGCCATATGGCCTGCCACGACCCTAACTCCTGGGTTTTTTCTATAGTATGTGGAGCACAGGAGTTCCTCTGCTCCATGTCCCTGTCCTTACCCTTTATGTCTGCTCTTGAGCATCCTTTGTGTCTGCTCCAAGCATCCTTTTTGGGGATGCGGCTCAGGGAATCCCAGAGATGGTTTGGCTCTCCCTGCACAACCTTGCAGCACCAGGAGGCAGCACTGCCTGTTTCCAGCAGTGTTCAGGTTGCTGTTCAAGGCTCACCAGTCACCTCTCCCCTTGCATGACTTCATCAAGTGTTTGCTTTGTAAACAGTGTCTGGGCTTCTAGCCACCTATAACTTCCCCCCAACACACACCCTCACCTTCTACCTTCCTCTTGCACTTTGAGCCTGTGCATCACGTGTTGAACAGTTTCCTGAGTCTCTTTCTCTACTCTTTGCACTGTTCCTCCAAGACACCTGTCTTCCACAGCTCTCCCATCCCTTCCAGCTTAGGTTGCTGAGCTGTGACACCCACCATATTGATTTCTCTGGTCCCTTTGCCTCACCTTTTTCAGATAAGACCCTCCTGTCCACCCCACCTTTTGCAGAGAAGCAAGAAACAGCCATTTATCCATGCCAGAGAGTCCTGAATGTGTCTATTTTCAATACGACCTGAAGGTCCCTCTGGGAAATATCCACTTAGATCTCCTTTGACCTGTGAATTGCCCATGGAAGGCTTTGTGGCAGTGAACATTGTCCTCGGTCCTCCAGCTGTCCATGTTGCAACTTCTGCAGGCTGTGTTGTGTGGTCTGTCTCACAGGTCGATTGCGTTAGTTTGTGCAGTGATACCAGTGCAGCCACAGAAGAGAAAGTACAGATGGCCTTCACCCAGGCCCAGCAGTACCATCCGTGTGTGCTCCTGCTGAAAGACATTGAAGTGCTTGGCAGAGACCGAGATGGGCTGAGAGAGGATGCCAGGGTCATTGCTACTCTGAGGCAGCTGCTCCTGGACAGAGACCCAGCACTGAGGTATGGACCCTGCATGTTTGCTGTGGGCATCTGAAGTAGTTGTTTGCTTCTGCCATTCCTAGAGCAGCAGTCACTGTTACCTCAAGGTAACTGATTGCTAACATGTCCTGTTTTGTTTTTAATCCAATGGAGTCTTTCCCAGACTTGTTTACTTCAGAAGTCCCTTGTTTTTCCAGCTTAATGGCAGAGGCAGTCAGGAAGCTTTGTTGTCTGAAGCTGGTTCCTGAGTTGTTCAGATGAGCAAACCATGCGTGTTTGCTGTGAGACATGCCAAGGGTATCAGGGACCCCAGAAGGGAGCTGGATTCCAGGAGAATCTTGAGGCTGATGTCAAGTAGCAGGGTGGCAGACATCAAGTGAAGAAATAAGATGTCACTTGAAGGGCCTTGACTTGGAGACAGAGCTCACAAAGCAGTTTGAGGGCAAGCTGGAGGAGAGTGGCTGCAAGACATTTCAGCCAGTGTGTGTGTATTTCTTGGAAAAAGGCCTAGGCATTGGACAGTGAGTTGGCATACGTGATGGAAATGTAACAGGGAAGCTTCCACAGAGCTGAGACCATACGCTGTCCCCCTTTTCTCAACAGCCATCCTGTCCTGGTGATTGGCACAACCTGCAAGCCCCAGGATGTTCCTACAGACTTGCAGAGTGCTTTCCTTCATGAGGTGAAAATTGAAGCCCCTTCAGAAGAGCAGAGGAGGTTGATGCTGAGCATGCTGACTGCTAGTCTGTCTCTGGGCAAAGAAGTGAGCCTATCCAAGCTGGCCCGCAGGACTGCCGTGAGTGAAACCACAGCAGCATGGGGAGATGGGCAGGCTGGGACTGCTGGGCCCATCTCCCACACCTGGTCTTGGAAAAAGGGGCTAATTCCCACAGTCCAGTCAACTTTTTCAGTGGTTAATCCTGGTCCTCAGACATCAGCTTTAAGTGCAGATTTCTAGAGCCTAAGGACTCCACACCATTTGCAGAGGTGCTGTCTGATGTTCAGCTCAGCTACAAGACAGAGCTAATAGAAGAAAAAAGAAGCTAGAGCCTTTTACCAGGGCACAGAGGTTCAAAGAACATCTCTGCAAAGAATTTTTCCCCATACACTTTTTATGGCCTAGATGGAACTGTGGTCAGTGGCTGAACTGATGCTCTTTGTTTCTGCATTCACAGGGCTTTGTGCTGGGAGATTTCTGTGCCTTGTTGTCCCACAGCAGCCGAGCTGCTTGTACCCGCATCCAAGCCTTGAGGTAGCACAGACAAGAGGGCAGGAGGTGGGGGAGGGCAGAGGCTGCAACCAGCCCGATAATGCCAGGAGTGGGGCAGAGCCTGAGTCCTTCCCTTTTCTTTCCTCAGTTTTCCAGGCGGACTGAGTGAAGAAGTGGAGAGAGATTTTTGCACTGCTGGGTTCCCAGTGCTTGAGGAGGATTTTAGTGTTGCGCTGGACCAGCTGCATGACACCCATTCACAGGCAGTGGGAGCCCCGAAGGTAGGAAGGGTTGGTTCTCCAGAAGCTGTTGGCTGTTGGCTCAAGGTGGCTGTGCACTGGCATGTTGCTTCCTGCTCTGTCCTTCCATGTATTCCCCCAGCTTTGAATGGGAAACAGTCCCCTCTGGGCTTTCCCCCACTAGTGCTTTTGGCTCTTGGCTTTGAATTTGGCAGGGAAGGCCTTGCCATACTAATTGCAGACCACTCAGTTGGCTGGTGCCATAGGGGTTCTAGCTGTGCAAGAGGCAAAGGCAGCTGCAGGCTGGCTGCCTCACTGAGGTCTCCCCAGCCACCTGGCCTCTGGGAACTGAGAGGCTGTGGCACAGGCTGGTGAGGGAGTTTTTCCACATGTGAGAAGCCTTAGACTTGATCCCTGGCCTTGGATGTTGCTTGGACTGGCATGGGCTTTTCTGACAGCCAAGCAGTTTGAAGAGTTTGGGAGTTCTTCAGGTAAAGCGACATGGAGAATCTGAGAAAACCAGCAGTCAGCTTCTCAGGAGGGGTGTGATCCACTTCTGGCAGCTTGGCACCCAGGGAAACAGCATTTGGGGTGACTGTTTTTGCTGGGTAATGTGGTATTAGGACCAAGCAAAGTGATCAGAACCTTTTCCACACCCATGAGTGCAAACAACTGAGCTCTGCACAGGACAGGAAACCTTGGCCTTGGAGCAGTTATTGTGACATCTTCCCCAACTGCCCACTTGCAGTCTGCCCTAACAAGAAAACACCTTGCTGATGTCATCATCCAGGAGCTACTCCAGCACTTAATTAATGCATAAATTTACTAGAAACTGAAGTGAGCTCTGATTTGAGGTGTTTGCCAAGTTCTCTGTAAGACAAATAACCATAATTCACACAGCAGTGAGCTGTGTGAATGGGAGCTAATTTTGTTTGTATTTTACATTCCTTTATTGATTTCTTAATAACTGGTTGCAGTTCAGAAAGCCCATTAGCAGACCTAGATACTCTCAACATACATTGCCTTCAGTTCCCTGCTTGCATTTCCTGGTTATTCACATATTTGTTTGCAGTTAAAGCTTGAGCCTTCTAGAGGACACTAATTCCAAACCTCCAGTTGCTAGCAGTGTCTGCAACATGTCCTAGACTTACAATGTGCTCCCTTTAAAACAACCTTGCTGCAGTTTTCCAGCTCCTGTGCTGATGTCTGTAGAGCTCTTTCTAGCGAGGCAATATAAGAAAGAATGCAGAGGACAGGGCAGCTCTTCCATTCGTTGGCACTGCAGAAGGAGTGCCTGTGACCTTTTGCTTTAAAAGGTTTCTTTTCTGGAAATCTTTGTTTTGTTTGACCTGATTTTCCTGGTGGATTTATTGGACAGCTAGAGAAATAGCATGAGATAACATAATCTCAAATAGCAAAGGAAGGAGTTCAAAATTGGCTGAGGGGAAAAGAATTTTGCCCTAGCCTATTTTTAAACTCCCCATTTGCGCTGGCACCTGTTCCCCACCCAGCCAGCAGCTGGCGGGAGGTGTTCTGGAGCTTTGCTTTCTCTGCATGTTCCCAGGAGAGCTGCTCTGCCTCTCAGGAGGATGTGTCATGCAGACTGTGGCATTCCAGCTATTTCTAAAGCCATGAGCAGAGCAGCAGTATCCTCCAGGATTGTTTTTCTCAGCACAAAATAACCAAAGTGGCATGGCTTACCCGTCTCAGGTTTGCTGTCTTTCTTCTATTTGCCATGACCCTTGCGTGTCTGCAGCTGACCCCATCCCTATCTATTTCTTGTCAGCATACATGGACTTTGCTCTTGCATCTCCCCTTTCCAAAGCAGCAAGTGTTCTGTACACTGTCCTACAGGATGTCTGTCTCTCACATCCTCATTTACATCACAGAAGTCCTGGCAGCCCAGATTCTGCTGCTCTGGAAGGTGTGAAGCCCTTGCACAGTCTCATTGCCTTGGTGGGCAGGGTGCCCTGAACACAAGTAGCTCATAATTGCTAGGGCCAGGTTTGGTTTGGTTTTTTTTTAATTTTTTGTTCTTTCTTAATTTTTGCCTTCCCTTATGCATCCCAAGGGCTGTCTGCTGCAGGACTGTGCCCCACAAAGCTGCAGGCAACCCTACTTTCCCTGGGGTATTTTTGCTGACAGATGATATGAGGTGCGATGGAGGATTGGAGATGAGGTGCACGCTGTGAGTGCAGCATGGCTGGGCACGTGTGCAGTTTGTTTTCCCTATTGCAAAGCTCGGAAGCGGGGAAATGTGGATACTGGATACTGGAGCAAGAGCTGCCCAGGCATGCTCGGGGCTCAGGAAGAGGTGCTGACAAGGATTCTCCCTCTCTTGGCAGATCCCCTCGGTGTCCTGGCAGGATGTTGGTGGGCTACAAGAGGTGAAGAAGGAGATACTGGACACTATCCAGTTGCCCCTGGAGCACCCAGAGCTGCTGTCACTGGGTCTGTGCCGCTCTGGTCTGCTGCTGTATGGGCCTCCAGGGACAGGGAAGACCTTGCTGGCAAAAGCTGTGGCAACAACATGCACCATGACATTCCTTAGGTGAAGAGCGAGGGGGGTCAAACAATGGGACTGACTTTTCCTGGCAGGGGATGGGCATCCTCTAACTGGTTCCCTCTTCTCTCTGCCCCACAGCGTGAAAGGGCCAGAGCTCATCAACATGTATGTCGGGCAAAGCGAAGAGAATGTGCGCAATGGTAAGGATATGCATTGTGCTTCTGCATATGGGAAGACTGGGCTTTTCTGTAGTGCTGAAGGGAAGGAGGTAGTGCTTAAACCCCTCTTCTCAACTCCCACCCACAGTTCTCAGCAAGGGCATGTACCCAATTATCTCCTACACCCAGTCCATTGCCTGCCTTGCTGCTGTTTGCCCTCCTGCTCTCTGCTCCTGTTGCTCTTGTCCCTGGTGTTCCCAACAGGACAGAAGTCCCTCAGAGACACAGCTGAGCCTTGGGGCCCATCCTGCTGGGTGCTGCCTGTCCCCACTCTACTGAGCCACTCAGGCTCAGAAGCAGTTGTTGGTGGTGATAGAGTGGGCATCAGGTTTCCATCCACAACTCTTCCCTGCTGGGAGAGCAGCAGGTCCTGTTGCTGTTGACTGCTCCTCCAGGTCTTTTTCACCTTTTGTGCTGTCTCCTTCCAGTGTTTGCCAGAGCCAGGGCAGCTGCTCCCTGCATTATCTTCTTTGATGAACTGGATTCCCTGGCCCCTAGTCGTGGGCGAAGTGGAGATTCAGGGGGTGTCATGGATAGGTAAGTGAGCATCATGTGTCCTCGGGAGAGCAGCATACCTGCCTCAGCTGCGGGGGATGCATAAGATTGCTCTGCAAGGCAGAGTCCATCCCACCTCTCTTTCTCTACTTTTTCCCCTCCCAGCTCCCTTAAGGGAGCATGGCCTGTTTCCTCTCTCTGAACATTAGTACTGCTGTTTGCATTGCTTTAGGTTCCAGTTGCCCAATCTTGTTGTGCAAACATTTGGTTAAGACAGTCTCCTCCACCTGCTTTTGTGGCTGCCAAGTGCTCCCTTTGGTCTCTCCACAGTCATCCTTCACACCCCTGCTGTGCTCTCCTCCTATTAACTCCTGTTTCCATGCGGTGGGAAACCTTTCAGCTGCTTCTGGTAGAAGCCACGTATATACAGCTTAGAGATACCCAGAAATAGGGTTATTTCCCCCAAGCCTCTTTTGGTGAGCTGGTAGTCCCCATCCAGTCTTTCTCTTTGTCCATGAGGGGTTCTGCAGAATTTTCTAGTGACATCATGTGCTCCTGGCATCCAGTTTCACACACACATACGACCAGCTCTGGAATGGACTGGGTATGGTGCACATTGATCCCAGAACCCGGTGGAGATATCCCTGTGCCAGGAGGCCTGTGCAGCACTGGAATACCGTGTTTGCCAGACCAGTTTAAGCCCCGTGGCTGCAGAACTAGATCTGCAACATGTGCTGTTCACTGACCTGAGGATTGGAAGTGTTCAAGGCCAGGTTGGATGGGGCCCTGAGCAACCTGGTATAGTGCAAGGTGTCCCTGCCCGTGGTGGGGGGATTGGAACTAGTTGATCTTTAGGGTCCCTTCCAACCCAAACCATTCAGTGCTTCAGTGACCGTTTGGCAGCGTGGCTGGCCTGCCAGCGTGTCCTTGGCATGGACTGCTGGGCAGCTGGACTTGCTGGGCAGTACCACATTGCAAGGACAGCTAGAACTGGCCAGCACATAAGAGTGGGAAACTTCAGCCACAACCATACAAGCCTGTCTGTGTTTGGTCTGTGTTGCCAATGTTAGATAGCAAGTATAAGCTTGTGTGGCCATACTGAAAGGGTTCAGAGCTGAGCACAGACCTGAAGGACTGTCTGGGTACCAGGGGTTTGGACTCACTACGCAACGAACCCACATGCATGCTGGATGTGCTGTCAGAGAATTCCGGATAGCTTTGTCAGGTCTCTTTAGGGAGGAGAAATAGAAGCTGAAGTCCAAGAAATGGACCTGCCAGTGGACTCGCTTCTTCCTCTTTGCCTTGGTGGCTGAGGGAGACAGTGGGTGACTTGCCAAGGCCTAGTTGTGAGCATCCTGTCTTGCTCCCTGCAGAGTTGTCTCACAGCTCCTGGCAGAGCTTGATGGCCTTCACTCCACCAGAGATGTGTTTGTCATTGGAGCCACGAACAGGCCTGACCTCCTGGACCCAGCTCTGCTCCGGCCAGGCAGGTATGTCACATCCTACCCAGCTCTCCAGGGTAGTTTCCCAGAGCTCTTCAGGCAGTGATGAGCTGGATGGACTGTGTCCCCACAATACTCCTTTCCCAGAGATTGTTCCTAAAGGTCCCTGGCCCTGGCTTATGTGGGAGATAGGAAGCCAAGAGGAGGCCAGTGCCTGTGGCTGTAGCAGCAGCACAAGATACCACAGCCTGTTCTCCCCACCACTCTGGTTTACTGCCCTAACAGCACAGCAGGGCAATAAGGGACCTGCTGTGGCACCAAACTGGTGAAGGAAGTGGTCCCTTTGGCCTGTTCTGCAGAATCGCCCCCCGGGTGGTCTTCAAGCCTGTGTCTTGCCCATCCTGGGGCAGAACTGTGTATCAGCTGTTGTTGGACGCTACGTGGTTTCCATCAGCCCATTTCTCCAGCCTGCCCCTGTCCTTCTGTAGAGCAGCCCTGCTCTCCAGCACATTGACTGCTTCTCCCCAGGCTTTGTATCATCCATGAACTTGGCAGCAAAAGGAGCTGTCTCAGGGCCACCCTTCAGTTCCTGGTGCACAGAGCTGAGCACAAGGCAGGTTTGCCTTGGCCTGTTCTTGACTGTCCTCTCTCGTCTGACAGGTTTGACAAGATGGTCTATGTGGGCATAAACGAAGATCGGGAGTCGCAGCTGCAGGTGCTGAGTGCCGTCACCAGAAAGTGAGTGACCCTGTGCTCTCCCAGCAGGCTTCCACAACCCTCCAATTGGTCACAGCCTTCCTGGGGTTGATACTTAGTGTTCTCCAGCTCGGCTTCATGTCAGAGCCCTGGGCAGCACTTGCGGTCACTGACTCACAGCCAGCAGGTAGGGGAAGAGAACAGAGCAACTTCCAGAAGCAGAATTAGGACTGGTTTTCCTGCAAGATGGGAGCAGCTCAGCCTGGCTGTCCAAGTGGAATGGTTAATAGAGTTTTCCAGCCACTGTGCCCATATGCTCTTCTTGAGCTCAGCCAAATCTGAACAGTGCCATGAGACTGCAGTGCAGCTGCATGGCAGGAAGCTCCCATTTGCATCCTGCAAGAATTCCCCTGCTGTTTGCAGATCCAAGGGTGAAGGCAGCTCCATTCATCACACTGCCTCTCTTCCTGTGATGTTCAGGAGTGTTCAGCATGTGCTCCATGTGTCTTTTCAATCTCTGATTGTGTGGGATCTTGTTGAGCAGCAGGGTTTGGCTGCTTCCCCAGCTGCTCTGAGCTCTTGAGAGCATCTCTTAAGGGAGAAGAGGCAAGCCCTGCATTCAAGTGCAGAGGTACCACCCACCACAGCTTGGTGAGTGGCTGTGACTCTGCCTCTGCAGGGACTCTGTCATGGATAGCTGTGATTGCTGCTGCCTGTGACAATAAGTTAGTAGGAGAGGCAAGAGTGTGGGCTGGTGGTGAGCAGCTTGTCATACCATGTGTCTTGGCAGCCATGCCTACTATCAGTGTGCTGGTCATGCTGAAGGAGGCTCGCTGTCTGCAGCGTGGCTCTGATGGGATGGTTTGGTGGTACAGTGGTTTGTACTGTCTGTAATTAAACATGTTCTTACACAGCCCTGGCTGTAGGCTGTTCCCAGGCATGCAGAGCATTTAATTTATCTAAGTGAGAAGTCAAGCACCAAGTGCATAAACAGATGGTGTTCTAGAGAGTTCATCCTGCACCATGGCTCCAAGACTGCTCCATGCATCCTTTGTGCTCCCTAACAGGTACCCGCAACCAGAGAGGCCCAGACAAATTTTGGGTGCCTCATCCTTGGAAGTGTTCAAGGCCAGGGTGGATGGGGCTGGGAGCAACCTCATTTAGTGGAAGGTGTCTCTGCCCATGACGGGGGGGTTGGAACCAGATGATCTTTAAGGCCCCTTCCAACCCAGACAGACCATGCTGTGCTGTGATGCTGTGATTCAAAGTTGCCTTTGGTTCTGCAGAGAAGATCTTGCTGCAGGGAAATTTCTGAGAGGTGACTATGTTGAAAAAAAACAATAAACTTTGATTTTTTTAATACTTTTTTTTAAGCATGCAGAGCACAGTCCAGAAGCAGCTAAACATGAGTACTCTGATTCTTCCTGCCCAGTCACATTGGCTGTCACAGCTTTCCTGGTCTGTTTTTTATGTGGCTTTTACACCTGCATTTTTCTCTCTTGGCAGGTTTAAACTGGATCCTTCTGTGAATCTCACCACCATCCTAGAAAAATGCCCAGCTCAGCTGACAGGAGCAGACATCTATGCGCTGTGCTCAGACGCCATGATGTGCGCTGTCAAACACAAGGTGGAATGGATTGAGGAAGGTAAGAGCCCTGCCCTTACTTGTTCCACGTGTTGGAGCAGCCCAGCACGTGGGCAGAGAGGAGAGTTACCACTGCTGGTAACTGGGCTGTGTAAGAAGGCCTTTGTCAGCTTTGGAACCACAATGCTGGGCTCTGGGTTACTGGCTGGCAGGCAGTTTCTACAGATGTGGTCATCTTCACCTCCAGTGGTTGGCCTCAGGGGAAAGGAGTGAGACAGGTTTTCCTTGCAGTCTCTGGTGGCTGGAGAGTGGGGCTGTTGGATCTTGCCAGCCGCCCCTGCATTTGTCTCAGCCCTTTCCTGTTCTTTCTCTCATGCAGGGCTGGATACTGAGAGCTCTGCTCTGATCCTGACCATGGAAGACTTTCTGCAGGCTGCTGCAAGGTTGCAGCCATCAGTCTCTGAGCAGGAGCTGCTCAGGTACAGACTCATCCAGCAGAAGTTTGCAGCCTGCTAATGCTCAGCAAAGCTGAGACTGGAGGAGTGATGAGAACAAGCCCAAAAAGGCACCCACGTGCTCTTCTCTGATGCCTCCTGGGCCCCCTTCTTTCAAGCTTGGGTGGAAGTAGTGGCTGTGCAGTTTCCTGAGCCAAAGCCTGATGGAAATGCTGCTCTGCTCAGCCAGGAGAGTGGTGGGTTCTGTAAGGGTCCCTCACATCTGGTGCAGCACACGGTGGCTGCTGGGAGCATGGATGACTTCCTCCTGGGGAGGAAGCTGAATCCCACAGCTGTGGGCAGTTGTAGGAGTGTCTCCATGGGTGACAGGGCATTGGTAGAGGAGCAAGACTGAAACTGCATCCAGTTTGTCAGCAAAGCGCAGGGCTGGAGGCAGCTGCTTGTTGGGGTGTCAGCCCCTCCCCAGTGAGGGGTGCTGGCTGGAGGGCAGCAGCACACTGCTGCTCCAGCTGGCCTGGACTTAATGTAGTCTCTGAATAAAATACAGGGTTTTAGCACCTAGGTATTCACTGCCTGACCTCAAGTTGTTGTTTGCTGATGGTGGCTGTAGGCTTGGAAAGGTCCCTGCAAGCCCCTGGGTGGGCTGGGTGTTGCAGAGAAATCCCTGTCCTGCAGGTAGAGTGGGGAGCACATCTGTGAGCTGGGCTGGGACCACTCTCGTTCCACTAGAATGGCTGGAGCTCCTGGTAGATGAGGAGAGCCTGAAGGAATGGGGCTTGCTTTGCTGGGAGCTGAGCTCCGTCTGCAGAGGTGCTGGCTGACAGGACATGAGGCAAGGGGGGGCAAGCGGCAGCAAGGAAATTCCCAGTGGATAAAAGGAAAAACTTGTCACAGAGCGAGGGAGGGCTTCAACCTTGGAAATACTCAAACCTTGGCTGGAGCAGGCTGGAGCTGCCCTGTCTGCACTAACTTGTGCTGAGCACCAGTTGGCCCAGACTCCCCTGCAAGTCCTGTCTCACCTCCCTCTGCAGCCTCACAGCAGCTGCTGGCAGCAGTGTGTATGCCCGGCTTCCCAGCCTTTACCAAGGGTGCCAAACAAATGGGACTTGAGCTGCGTGTGGCCACCAGCTGGCCAGCAGCTGCCACCGCCAGGTCCCTGCAGCTGCTGGTGCAGCCCCGGGGCAGCCTCACGCCCAGCCAGGGGCCCATGTGTGCCCCAGCCCAAGGGGTTGCTGCTGTCGGCACTGAGCCTGCTGGCAGCTGGATCCCTGGTGTGGCTGTGAAGGCCTGCTCCCCACTGAGCTCCTCCACAAAGGACTGGCTCCCTAGCAGCTTCTGGCATTCCACGTGTGAAGCTGCAGCTGGTGCCTGCCTGGAGCCCTGTTGCTCCAGCTCTGGCAGCTTAGCGTGTTTGGGCAGAGCTGTCCCTGACCGCACTGCACTGTGCTACTGGATCTGAGCACCACATCTTCCCCAGGGTGAAAAGGAGGGAGCTGCAGCCACAGCAAAAGCACTGGTGGAGGCTCCAATGTGGGAGCCCTGGTGGGGGGGGTGGTTACCCCCAGGATGGGGCTGAGGGGTGTCAAGCAAAGGAGAAAACAGGTTGCAGCACACTCCTGTGAGCAGTGCTGCAGTGGGCTCAGCAGAGATGTGTAACCACCTGGGAGCCAGCTCACCCTTGTCTCTACTTCAAGGGGACCCCCAACCCCACACAAGCATGGATGGCACCTGCAGCTGGGGGCTTGGAGGTGAAACTACCTGCACCCACCCCATGCTTCCCCCAGGCTGTGGCTGTCCCCCTTGCCCCATACCCTGCCCATACAGGGACACACGGACCATGATCTCCAGTAGCTCTCACAAGTGTTCTTAATTAAGGAGCGGCATCTCCCAGGCAGCTCTCAGCAATGTCCCCACCCCCTGCTCGTCCCCAGAGCTGCTCGCAGCTCTCAACCACCACAGTCCCATCTCCATGGCCCCCTCAGCCTGTCTTCTTCACGACGTGGATGAAGTAGCAGGGCACATGGGCCTGTCCCGGCGTGTAGGGCTGGAAATCGCCCAGGACACTGTGCTGGCACTTCCCTTGGAAGGCACCTTTTAGCAGAGCTGTGAAGGCCTCCAGCCGGTGTGGGTAGTATGAGAGCCGAAACTTGCTGCAAGGAGGCAATGCTGGTGAGGCCTGGGGACAGTGGGGCACAGTGCCAGCCACCCCCCATGCCGGGAGCCACCTCTGCAGCCCCTCTCACCTCAGCTCCGGGTCTGCCCCCGCCTCAGTGGGGGGGACCTGCACCGTGTAGTCCAGGGTCACCATGTGTGCCTTGTTGTTTACCAGCAGCACTGAGGTGGTGATGTCCTTGGTCAAGTCACTCTGTGAGACCACAGGAGGACTCAGTGGCCCCCAGCCTGGACACAGCCCTGCTGCCTGCCCCACCTGGGGCCACAGGGCTGGGGCAGAGGGAATTGGGATGGGGCAGGGTCTGCCAGCCACCCACCTTGTAGTAGATGTTCTTGCCAGGCGGTGCACAGCCCGTGGCCAGGATGTGATCATAGTTGCGGTGGTCAATGACCAGAACACCTCCAGGCCGCACCATGCTGGCAATGTTCCTCAGGGCCAGCTTGTGGTCACTCTGGTCCCCTGGGGAGGAAATGGTGGTGTCTCCAGGCACTGGCATGGCACAGCCCATAAGGCCCCATCTTACCCATGTAGACACACACATATACCCCTTCCCCTACCATCTCCCCCCCAGTCTCAAGTTGGAGAACCCACAGCCCCACCCATGGCATCAGCTCAGGCACATTCTCAGCCTCACATGGGGAACCCACCACCCCACCTGTGGCACAAGTCTGGGTGTGCCAGCTCCTGCCTTGCCAGAGGTGTGACATAAATGCACACACCTCCTCTACCGCCACTATGGAACCCAATGGGCCCACTCATGTCACAAACTGGGGCATGTTCTCAGCCTCCCTGGAGATGCACCATGACACAGCAGCTCCACTGTGTGTTATCCCCTGTCCCGCTAATGGCAGGAGTTAGGGCACATTCTCAGCCTGCAGGAGACGCGCACACATACACAGGTACTCCCCCTCCCCTCCCCTGCCTCCAACTCACCTTTGAAGTCAGGCAGGTGTGCAAAGGAGTTGCCGAGGCAGATGACTGCATCAAATCCATCCCCTGGCTTCTCCAGGTCCTTCTCCAGTGTGAGCCAGTTGGCCTCCTCAATGACTGCAGCACAGGGAAATGGATGAGGGCAGGGACACACAACAGCCTCCCCTGCCTGCAAGACCCCATCCCAGCACCACCTAGCCCTTCCCTGGCCCCTGCAGGTGCTGGATCTAGTCTGTGGCCAGCAGCCAGTCAGGCAAGAACCATGGCTTGGGTTTGCCGAGCAGCTGGCACCAGCAGGTCCCTGCCTGCCCCTGCAGCAAGGCCACCCGGCCAGCAGCAACCCCAGACGAGGGGCCTGAGCACTGCAAGGGGCCAGAGACAGTACACGAGAGGGGCACAGGGCAGAGTCCCCTGCGCCGGGGTGGGGTGTCAATGTCCCCACGCCTCTTCCGGTCCCCACAGTCCCCGCACCCCATCGATCGAAGGGCTCCTCTTTGCGCCGCTCCCAGCGCTCCTTCAGCGCGTACTTGAGCATCTTGTCGCTGGCGTCGACGCTGGTCACCTGGAAGCCCTCCTCGAGCAGCATGATGGAGTCCACCCTGGGGACACGGCTGTCAGCAGGACCGAACTGAGGGGGCCGGGAGGGCTTCAAGGGAAGGGGGCACTGGGGATGGCCGAGGGCAGGGAGGCCCCGGGTAACCCCGGGCAGCGGGAAGGGACACCTGGCAGGGCAGGCGGGTGCGGGGCGCAGTGCCTCACCCGGTGCCGCAGGCCACGTCGAGGACGGAGCGGCAGCGGTGCTGGCGGAGCAGCGCCAGGAGCCAGCTGCGGTACTCGGCCGTGCGGCTCCGCGTGTCCCCGATGTACAGCTGCCACACGCGGGCCGCCTGCCCGTCCGCGTACTGGTCCGGCAGCCCCTCCGCCGCCACCCCCAGCGACCGCGTCCGGTACACGCTGTCCACCATCGCGCCGACACCGACACCGACCTGGCCCCGGACACCGACGCGGCCCTCGCGGCCCCGCTGCGCCGCGAGACCCCGCCCCCGCCCGCCCGCCAATCGCCGCCGTGTCCGCCCCCGCCCGCCCGCCAATCGCCGCCGTGTCCGCCCCCGTCAGCCCGCCAATCGCCGCTCCGACCGCGCCCCTCCCGAAACCACGCCCTCCCGCCGCAGCCCCGCCAATCCGCGCCGCGCCCGCCAATCCCCGCCCCCGGCCCTGCCAATCACCGGTCGCCTGGCGCCCCCCGCGGCCCCGACCTTCGGCCAGGCAGGGTCAGGGCCCGCCCGCCCCGCGGGGCCCCCCGCGGACACCGCTGCTCCCGCCCGCAGCAGCATCTGCGCCCGTCCCGGCACCGCGGGCGAAGCAGGGCCCGCAGCGGCGGCTCTGGGGAAAACGTCTTTATTTACAGTCCCGGCTCGGTGCGAAGAGCCGGCGCCGGGGCAGCACTCGCGGCCTCCCGGAGCTTAAGCCCCCGGCAGGGAGGAACAACAGGGCTGGGTCCGCGGCTCCGTGACACCTAATCGCAGGATGGCACCCAGGCTGACAAGGCAGGACCGGGCGCTCTGGTCTCCCCCGGGTTGCAAGTCCCTTTTCCTTTGGTACCCAGAGGCACAGCGGGTTGAAACCCCAGAGCGGGCAGCCACGGGGGCTGGGGCTGCGTGTCTACAGCTCATCAGCTGGGCTGTGGGTGAGCGGAGCCTTCTCCTGGACCCCCTCCTCCAGGGCCTCCCCTCTGTCCAGGAGGCTGGCAGCTCCCACGCTCTCATCCTTCTGGTCCTTTTTCTTCTTCTTCCCGCTCTTTTTTTTGCTCTGCTTCTCCTCCACACTTGCCAAGTCGCCCTTCTTGCCAGTCCACTTCTCTGCCAGGCAGCCTGGGGAAGAGAGGGGCAGAGTGGGCTCTGGGGAGAGGCAAGGTTCCCTGTGCCCTGGGCAAGGCTCCCCTGCCCTTCCTGCACAGCCCCTGGCAGCAGCCAGGACTTACTTGTGTCCTTTCCTTTTAGCACATGGTTGGCGCAGAGAAACTGGGAGAGATCCTCCATCTGGTGATGCCTGTACCAGTCCTCGATCACATCTTCATACTCCTCCACCAGCACGTCGCACTAGGCAGAGAGGAGAGCCCAGCTTCAGACACGTGCTGGTGCGGCAGGACCAGGGCCAGGACAGCAGGTCCTGCCAACACCATGCTTCCAGCAGCGCACCCTTAGACTCTCTCCCCTTCTACTCTGGCCCACCAGGTCACAGAATCCACTGAGGGCCAATCCCACTGGTCTGGGTACCTGCTTTTTGAGGTCAGCCACCTCAGCGGAGGTCTCGTTCCACAGCTCGTAGGGGATGTCCATCACCACCTTGACGCCCTTGTGCACCAGGTTGTGCAGGGTCTCGAACGTCTCCGACATGCCCTGAAGGAGCAGCGCTGCCTGGTCAGGTGGTGCTCCTCCTGCCAGGCTCCCGCTCTCCCCTCC